TTATTTATTCTTCCTTTTTGAACTCTGTGCCAGTTGCCTGTCAGAAGTCTTTTTGAACTATTCCAAAATACTGAGCAGAATGGAAGTCTGCCACTTTTTAAGAGGCCAGCATCACTTTGATGCTAAAACCAAACAAAGACAAAACACAAAAACAAAACTACACACCTAAGTCCTTAATGAACATAGATGCAAAGATTCTCAACAAAACACTAAGAAACGGACTCCAAAACTACATCAAAAAGACCACACATTGCAATCAAGTGGGACTTATCCCAGAAATGCAAGGGTGGTTCAACATTCGCAAACCAATAAACATCAGAATCACATCAACAGAATGAGGAACATAAATCATATGATTATCTCAATAGACACAGAGAAAGCATTTGATAAGATTCAATACCACTTCTTGATTAAAAAAAGAAGCCTTCAAAAATTAAGTATAGAAGGAAGATATCTCAAAATGATAAAGGCTACATATGCAAAAGCAACAGCCAATATTATACTAACTGGGAAAAAGCTGAACTCATTTCCCCTCAGATCTGGAACAAGACAAAGATGTCCACTTTCAACAGTCTTATTCAATATAGTACTAGAAGCTTTAGCAAGAGCAAATAGAATATGTTAGCAACTTAAGAAACTCAACAACAGCAAAAAATTGACCCAGTTAAGAAACAGGCAAAGGACCTCAAAAGACCATTCTCAAAAGAAATACAAATGGTCGACAAATACATGAAAAAATGCTCACCATCATTAACCATGAGGAAAATGCAAATCAAACCGACAATATCACTTCACTCCTGTCAAAATGGCTAAAATTTAAGACAGTAGTAACAAATACTGGTGAGAGTTTGGAGAAAAGGGAACACTTATATGCCATTGGTGGGAATATAAATTAATGTAGCCACAGTGGAAAACAGTATGGGGATTCCTTAAAAAACTAGAAATAGACTTGCCATATGATCCAACAATCCCATTACTAGACAAAAGACATGAACACATTGTACCAAAGAGATAACTGTATCATCACCGCTGTTTTATAGCAGCACTGTTCACAAATTTGGGATCATCCAAGGTATCGATCATCACATGAATAAGTAAAGAAAATGTAATACACACACACACACACACACACACACATATACAATGCACTATTATTCAGCTATGAAAAAATGAAATTCTACCACTTGCATCAAACTGGATGCAACTGGAGGACATCATATTGACTGTAATAAGCCAAATATACAAAGACAAATACTGCATGTTCTCCCTTATATATGAGAGCTAAATTATTTTAAAAATAAAAAAATATCGGAGCCAGTGCTGTGGTACAGCTGGTTAAGCTGCCATTTGCAGCACCAGCATCACATATGGGTGCTGGTTTAAGTCCTGGTTGCTCCACTTCTGGTCCAGCTCCCTGTTAATGTGCCTGGGGAAGCAGTGGAAGATGGCCCAAGTGCTTGGATACCTGCACCTTTATGGGAGACCTGGATGAAGCTCCTAGCTCCTAGTTTCAGCATGGCCCAACCCTGGCCTCTGCGGCCATTTGGGTTGTGAACCAGTAGATGGGAGATTTCTCTCCTCTTTTTTTTCTCTTCTTTCTCTTGCTCTGACTTTCAAATAAATAATAAGTAAATATTTAAAAAATATTTAAAAAGCAAAAGAATAAATGACATTTTGTATCAATATTATTGAAAATATAGTTTAAAAAAAACTTTGCTTCATACCTTTGTTAGACTAATGGTTAAGAATGTAACACTACTATAGTTTGATTATAAGTAATTACTTTGACATTTACTGCTATGGGTGAAATGATCATTTTTCCACTCATTTATTATTTATATCCATTGTCTATGTTCTCACTAACCTAGTGTCTTTTTGCTTTTTACTTTCTAAACTTTTATTTGGTGAAGCATTAAGCCTTTCTATTGTAAGTTTAAAATATGTTATCTCAAAAATAAAGGAAAAAAATGACAGAAGGGAGGGGGTGATGGAAAGGAGAGAAGGGGATGGACCACTTCTAAAACTTTTTGTTGCTAAAAGGGTTAAAGGGTTTTTGATATTGGCTCCTGGTAATCAGAATTTCTCTCCAGATGTGGGTCTGGATCAGCAACCAGTTCAAATCCAAGCTGGCAACTCGAGGCAAATGGAAAATCAATATGGAGTCACTAGTGTCAACCTTAAACCAAATTAGATAAAGCCAGAGTTTATAAAGGAAGGGTTCTTAAGCATGATTGCTTGATGTTAACTGTCACAAAAGACTCTGCTAAAACTATACCCTCTAGGGAGGCCCCATTTCAGAAGAAAATGCTAACTAGATGTGATACTTGGTAATCTCATACCTAATGCCAGAATCTATACATAGCACACACAGTAAAGTGCTAAGGAATCTCACTAAGGAAGCTTTTTGACTTCTTTGAAGTAAGGATTAGGATTGGGAGTAAGGACTCAAAATTTGAGAAAAATAAAATGACTGGTGGTGCTGGAGGGTGACTGAGGGGGTAGGGGGAGAAGTGTCATTATGTTCTTAAGTTTGTATATATGAAATACAGGAAACTTGTGGAACTTAAATAAATTTTTTTTTAAACAAAATGACTGGTGGTATAAAACCAGGACATTGTCAGCCAAGCCTGGCTGAGGTGTTTGAGAATAACAGCCACTTGCGCATTACTGCTGGAGACAGACCAGTGTGCTTGGGACAGCCTGCCCAGTGCACTCAGCCCACTGTATGCTGCTGTCTCTGAGACAAAAAGGAGGACGCCAGCTCATGTCTTGCTATTTGGGAGATGCTAAACAATATTATTTTATAACTGAACTCTTACTCAAACTATTTTGAGAAGATTTTATTTAAAGGTAGGGTTACAAAGAGAGAGAAGGGAGATAGATAGACAGATATTCTATCAGCTGGTTCACTCCCCAAATTACTGAAATGGACAGGGCTGGGCCAGGCTGAAGCCAGGAGCCTGGAACTCCATCCAGGTCTCCCAGGTGGGTGTTAGGGACACTAGCACTAAGGCCATTTTCTACTGCTTTCCCAGGCACATTATCAGGGAGCTGGGTCAGAAGTGGAGCAGCTGAGACTTGAACCAGCATTCATATGGGATGACAGATGGTGGCTTAACATTGTGCCCTAAAACTGTTTCATCTTTTAATCCAATCGCCTTCCCCCAGGTTCCTTTGAGGAACCTATATGTAACTGATTATAGATTATTGAACAAATATGCCCAGAATATTGCATCTGACTGGTATCCCTTTATAGACTACAGATTTTAAATATTCATGGATGGAAACAGCTTCAAGGACCAGAAAAATCAAAGGTTGGATACACAGCAGTTAACTCTCCAGGAAACTTTGGGAACAGTAGCATTGCCACCAGGTATATTAGCCCAGAAGGCTGAACTGAAAGCCTCCCTGTGCTTTATGCCTTAGAGGAGGTAAACAGCCACACTGACTCTGAGTAATAAAAGAGAAATGTTGCTGGCTGCAGCTTCCCCTAGGAAAGGGAGAAAAGATATACTTTGGGCTTTCCTTGGGTTCAAGGAAGATGGAAAAAAATATACAGAAGTCTGTCAATTTGCCAGACTTGCTGCATAGATAAACCTGTCTTCCATTGGTATGATCACTTGCTTTCTATCTTTATCTTGGAGACAGGGCTGGAGAATGTGATTTTGCTTATTAAGGCACTGACAAATGACAGTCAACATGTCTTAAAATGACAGTGCCACATATCCAGATTAATTCTGTGTCTGACCCCACACTAAATCTTAATCAATGGCTCTACTCCTGGTTTGGGACTGAAAGTTTTCTAGTGGAAAAAATTACTAATTTCTCTGGCTTTCCCTTAATGCTAGTATGTTGTGGCCTTTATTGCCACTGTGGATTGGTGATACATTTGCAAGACAAAGCTGTGCAGAGGTTGGCTGGGCCAAATGCTATCATTATGCAGAGGTTCTCCACCGCTAAACCTGGGACCAGGAAGTTTCAACTTCCTCTCCTCTAATCCTGAAAATACCCCACCCTCAGCAAGAAGCTGAGCAGTCCTTTTCCCTATCCCCCCAGGACAGAGGTATAGCAAGAAATAGGGGTGACTGAAACCAAACCCCAATAAAGTAAAGGCAGGACCCAGCCTCTCATTTGCCTCCCCTTAATACAAGATGTCCTTGTCCTTCCTTTATCAAGAGGATTTCTCTGGGTTGGGGAAGTGATACAGCTGGCCTAGCAAAGGTTCTAACCACCGACTCAAGAAGCCATTTTCTTCTCTTCTAGATAAAACCCTGCTGGCCAGTACTGGCTGAAGGAGTTTATTTAGGGGAATTTCAGGTCCTGGCAGGGAAATTCCAGGTCTGGGGCAGAAGGTAACTTCCACTTGCATGTGATCCCTCCAGACCAACTGAAGACCACTTCTCCAAAGAGCACCACAACACTCACCAAGCAGGTCACAAGCACCACTGACCAAGCAGGAAGTCGGACAGGAGATGATCAAGAACATCTCAGCACCACTTTCCATCTATAAGAACCTTCACCCCGAACTCTGCGGGGAGTCCAGGAATTATGCCTTGGCTGCCCAGCTCCTTGCTCTGCACTTTGCAGAAAACACCTACTTTTTCCCACCACCCTGATGCCAGTGACTGGCTATCTGTGTGTCAGGTAAGCGGACCCAGGTTTGGGTGTCCTACTGCAACACCTCCAACTAGTCTTGGGGGCTGTTCAGCAACATAGGCACCAAGCAGCCGAACACGGCCCATGTGGCTCCTGTTTCTACTGCATTCAGAAGATTTGCATTGACTATTATTTATCCTGCTCTCCGAGCCTTTATTTTCCTCATTTGTGAAATAGTGACAAACAGTTTGCTATGGCGATTCCATAGAATAATACATATGTGTATTTGGCACAGGGCCTAGCATATAGCAAACACTCGAAATTGCACTGTTGCTGTTATTACTGGAAGGCAGATCTCCTGTTTTGTCACAATGATGAAAACTTTTTCTCCCTGATGAGAATACCTCTGCTTCTTCCCGTGTCTCCTGGACTTCGGTCTTTTCTCATTCAATCAGTTTCTTGACCTTTTCCACTTCAGTTAACTTCTTGGTTCCTCCTCTAAGCTGGTTTGTCAGATTAGAAACCTCTTCTAGAGAGAGAAGAAAATAAAAGTTAGTGAAAAGTTAATGAAAGTGTTCAGTCCCAGACCCATGAAGTCAGGTACAGGAGTATTGCGTGAGACCATGGTCATGCTGTCTTGGAAACTTGCTGGCAAGGCATCAGTAGTTCCTATGGGATTTCTGATGGAATTTTAAAAAGCAGCTCTTCTTCAATAAGTTTTTTGATCATCCTAAAAATTGCCTACCACAATTGGTGAAGACGGTGCTGCTTAGAGCGTTATGCATCGCACAGCCCACACAACTTTACAGAGTGGTGCCGTAGTCACAGCTACTCCAGATTTTTCCTGTAGGTACTCTAAATCCTGCCCTCACTGTGTCCTCACTCAGCCATCAAAATCATTGGCTGTCATTGCATCATGTGCCACCCAACACTAGAAGAGGGACCTTGAGAAAAAGCTGGCCCACTGTCTGTTAGCAGACAAAGTAGGACCTCAGATAACGCCAGAGAATAAGAAGGGGCTCAGACAAGGCAGTGGTGTTCGGTTAGCTCAGGCACTGGAGTTTGGCTAGCCTCTCCTAAGTGCAAGACTAAGACAAAGTGAGGCATTCAGGACCTCCGCTGCTTAGAACCATTTTTGTGGTTCTGCCTTTTCAGGAAGGGCATCTCTAGACCTAAGAAGTGTGGTGGAGGGCTAAGTAGCTCCAGTAATTACTCAGTCCAGCAACAGTGCAGGGAGCTTAAGAGTACACCTGCTCCTCTAGTACGGAGATCCTGGGCTATGATGTGATATGACAACAGTCTGAAACAGTCACGAAAAGCAGGTTAGATGGAAATATCATTGAATAAAAAATTCTCTAAGGCCTTTGCAGAAGAGGAGTTCCTCAGAGAAGACTCGGCGTGGGTATCCTCAACTCTGACTGCACCTTGGAATCACTTGGCCAGCTTTTGAAAAATCTCCTGCAAATCCTAATCCCCCCTCTCCCAAGAGCAAGTTTGGTCCTGAGAACAGCAGCAATGACTTCACTGGGAGCTTGTTAGACATGCAAATTCTCAGCCCCCTCCCAGACTCCATGGGTGGGCCCAGGTGGTTTAGATGAAGTTTTCTAACCACCATTCTGGCACCTCTGGCATGCCCGTCTCACACCTGACCATGGACTACGTAGGTAACTAGAGAAAGCAGGTTTCTTTCAGGAAGTCTCAGGGTTTTCATGCCTACACGTATTGCTGCTAATGGAAGTTGGCAGCTTCTTTGGAAAGTTACTTGGCAGTTTGTCAAAATCTTCAAACTCATTTATTTTTAATCCAGTAATATCATTTCTGGGGACCTATCCTACTGAAATATTTTCACATGTGCACAAATATGTGCATGGGAATGTGTGAAGGGAATTCAAAAAGTCTGTGGAAAATAGAATAAAAGATAAGTTTATTTTGACGGAAAAATTGGAAATTCACAAACAAGTTTTTCATAATATGCATTTTGATGATCTTTCTGAATACCCCTCATGTGCATTTTTGCATTGTCCATGAACTTTTTGAAGTGTCCTTCTATAATATAGAATATATATAATTGTGAATAATCTGATCTAAAATGAATATGGGCTAGCTCAACAAATAATTGTCTAATAGTCATCCTTATTATGAAACACTATGTAACTGTTAAAAAGCATGTGGGAAGTCCCCACAGATGGGCATGCAAAGAACTACAAGGCCATTGGCAGGTAGACCAGCTCAGAAGTAGAGTACAAATACACTGGAACCAAGCTGATTGGGTTCCACTCCCAGATGCGCTACTTACCAACTATGAATGTGGACGAGTTCCTTAACTTTATGTGACCCAACATATCTCCATTTTACAGATGAGGAAACTGACACTAACACAGCTTTGAGAATTAGACAATGATTCGTTTTATAGATAACAGTGCCTCAGACATGATGTAGGCAATGGAAACAATTGTTTAATTAGGAAATACTTAGACAAAGAGAAAAATGAAAGGTATAGAAAAATGTGTAGTTTAGGTAAAAATATACACATGGATATGTGCATAGAAAATCTTGGTAAAGGTCTGGGATATCAAGAGTCTTTTAATTTTTTAAAGAAAACATTTATTTTATTTACTAGAAAGGCAGAGTTACAGAGAGAGAGGGAGGGACAGAGAAATAGAGATGTTCCATTCACTGGTTCATACCCTAAATGGTCACAATAGACAGGGCTGGGACAGACTGAAGCCAGGAGCCAGGAGCTTTTTCTAGGTTTCCCATGAGGGTGCAGGAGTCCAAGCACTTGGGTCATCCTCAGCTCATTTCCCAGGCACATTAGCAGGGAGATGAATTGGAAGTGCAGTAGCCAGGACTTGAACCGGCACCCAAATGGGATGCTGGTGTCACAGGTGGTGGTTTTAACATGCTATGCCACAACACTGGACCAGTATCCAGAGTCTTAAGAGCAGCTTACATTATCGAGTGGAATTGGAGCTAAAGGTTCAAAATTGATCTTACCTCTGTAATTAATTTGCTAAGAATAACATCAGTAGTAAAGTAAATGGACAAAGAAGGATGAAACTTGAGAAGTGAAAACGGGAATTGTAATGTGGAGGGCTGGGCCCTCTGCCCACTGCAGACAGCCCTGCCCTGAAGCCAGGCCCCTCCCCGAGCTCCCGTACCTTGGAGGATCTTGTTCTCCCTCCTGAGTGTCTCCTGGCCCATGGTGCTGTCCTCATAGGCATGTCTGAGCTCGAGCAGCTCGGTGCTGAGAGCACAGGCATCCTTCTGAGAGGCACCCAGCAAGGCCTGGCACTCCTCCTGCTGCTGCTTCCAGTCGGCGAGGGCCTTGTCTGAGCGCCACAGCTTCTGGTCCCTCAGGGCTGCTGCAGAGCGGGCCCTCCCCAGGTCAGACAGGGCGTCCCCGAGCTCGAGCTGCAGTCGGTGTCTGGCCCTCTCCAGGGAGGCATTTCTGGCACTGGCCACCCCCATGGCTTCAGCAGCTCCCTGCAACCGAACGGCCAGCTTCTTCCTGAGTGGGAAGAGGAAACCCCAAGGGTGAGTGAAGCCACACTTCAGAGCTCATCATACCTGCCCTGGATTAAAGGCAGTGCTTGGGTACAAAGTAGGGCGGCCTCTGAGCTCTGCCCAACAGTGGCAAGTAAAAGTGGTTCCCGAGCTAGAGAAGCCACACACCTGCTAACCACCATCCTCTGCCTTCTGGATCCACGGGCTCTTTATTTCCCACCCTTTTCCAACCTGGACTTGGAACTCAGGATCTCTGAATTTCTTTAAATATTTGTTTATTCTAAAACTTTACTGAAACAATATGGACTTTATTGATGGCTTTATCAAAAATGGAGTAAATAAGAAGATAAACTGAATACTCCAAGAGGAGCAAGCCACTTAAATTTCCTTGGGCACAATTAGTCTGTAAAGAGCTCCTTGGCCTTGATACTCCCAAGGAACACTCTTGCTCTCTCCTGCTCGTTCTCTTGCCTCTTATCATGTGGCTCCTAAACATGCCCTAAATCTCTCCTCTCTGAATTTCTTCTGCACTTTGGCTCCTTTTCCCAGATTCATGCATGCAAACCCATCCCATCATGATGCTCACTTAATAGGTCTCATTGCTGTTGGGGGGTGTCTTTTAGCCCCCAACTATTTTCTTCCAGCATCCACTGAGATTGGGTACTTTATAAGATTTACTTGTTTGAAAGGCAGAGTTATGGGGTGGGGGAGGGAGAGAGGGAGGGGGGAAGAGAGAGAGAGACAGAAAGAGAGAGAGAATCTCTTATCTGCTGATTCACTCCCCAAACAACAGTGATGGCTGTGGCTTGGCCAGGCCTAAGCAGGAGCCATGAGTTGTATCAAGGTCTCCCACGTGGGTGCAGGGGCCCAGGGAACTTGAGTCATCTTCTGTTGCTTTCCCAGGCATGTTAGTAGAGAACTGGATCAGAAGTGGAGCAGCCAGGACTTGAACAGGCACTCATATAGGATGCCAACGTCACAGGCAGTGGCTTAACCCATACACAATGATGTTGTCCCTAGTTGGGTACTTTATTATAATACCACCTCCACTCTCCCTATAATGGTAGGCATTGTGATGAGTGAGAAATTCTTTTATGCTGATGACCCCAATAGTTTCTAGTACTCCCATTCTTACTCAGATGTTATAATTCTTAGATGAAAAGTATTTTGTGGACCAAGGTTTTTTCTGATCCTGTTATTAAACAGAAAATAGTTCTCAGGAATTAACATGTACCAACAACTAGCCCCGCTGAATATTGTAATAATAAGGCTGCCTTTTGGTGAATCCTACAAAAACCAATCTGCATTCAGCATCCAGCAAGGATCTGCTTCCTAACAATTCCTAGCCCTCTGGCATTCTAACCATCATCAGTCACATCAGAAACATCACTTCTTCACTTCATGCTTCTTAAATAACAATCTGATGCTGCAACTGACCTGAGACAGTAGGAGTCTTGTCAAATAATTACATGTGTTTTACCTACTTTAGAAAAGCTTGAGTGGTACCAGAAAATAGTTTTACTTTTGCCGGTTGGCCTGGGATGGAGGTATTTCACCAGGACATGGAAGTTTCTGTGCTAAAACCAGGAAAATCCAGGAGAAACTGCACAAATTGATCACCTCGTTTTGCTGACAGTTTTGTTCTACATTTAATACCCTCTACTGTTTTGCTCCTTAAATTGTCAAACATGAGCATCCACCTAGTTTCCTAGAACACATAACAGGAATGCAGATGATTTGGAAACCAAATCCTATTGCTTGCCTCATTTAGAAGCAGAAGCAGTAAATTAGGTTGTAGGTGAGATTGTTCCTGCAAAACACACTCGTCATATGAAACTCAGCCTGGAAATTAAAGCAGGATTTCAACCTTCCAATTAACAAACAGAATCAAAAACAGGACCCTAGGTTTTGTGTAGCTGTTTACCTCACAGAAGTGATTTAAAATAAAAGCATGATGTAGACAAAGCATTTCTTATTTGGTATTCAACAAATCTTTCAGAAAAAGGACTTTCATATATAATCATGTGGGCCCATCATTTTCTCTTGGTTGTTGCCTGCTACATAAGTACTTCCAACAAATCCATACCATCTAGAATATTTCTCTTTTCTACCCTCCAAAAAGAAAGCTTCAAGCAAAAGGTCAGGTATGCACTTTCACCTGGATTCTTCCATCATTACAGTGAAAAAAAATCTTACTTTAGAAGCAAATGTTGTATTTGGATGTGAGGCGTATCAGTTCAAAGCCTCACTTTTCTATAGTCCCGAGTTTTTGTAAAATACCTGCAGTAGGTATTTTTGGTATCTGTCATTGCAAAGCCCTTTTTAAGTTACTGTGGACACAGAGATGGATCACTTGGTACCCCTTCTGGGACAGAACACGGCAGCTGTTCAGCAAGTGCACAGTAATGCCTCTCAAAGATTTAGGAGAAGAACTGAAAAATATTATTTCTGGCTGAAGCTAACGAGAAGTGTATTGATCTGCCCTGGATTTTTGCCAAGCTATCAAGCCAGGGACACATTCTTTTGAGTAAATCTTTAATAATAATAAACTGAGGCTAGTGTGACATTCTCTTTCAAAGATACACAGTTCAACGTCTAAGCAAAGCATGTGAGCCCTAAACCCTGAGACCAAGTCTTGATTTAGCTGGGCTCCAAACCTCTGTAGTTCCTGAGAAAAAAATTTTAAACCTTGATGTAGCATTGGCCATAAAACTGATAGTCTAACCTTAGGGGTAGCCCGGAGCTGATTTCTTTTCAAAGCATCCTTTGCTCCATAGACATGATGACAGATTATAAGATTTCTCCAGCAACCCCTATCCATTTTCATATAATACCTTGTGGTCTATAGACCAGAGACACATTATTTTGATGACTGGAGATATGCATACCTGTGTGTGCAATTATTTAGGTGTTCCAAGTGAGATCTAGGACTTCATGTGGTAGTCCCATCTTTTAAACCACAGAACAAAATCATTTCACATATTCCATGGAGAATTCCCTTATGCCCTGAGAAAGAGTCTCCTTTCTCCCCCCACAACCACTTTATAGTCTCCATCAATCTATATTATGACTTTGTTAGTTCATTCTTACAAAAGTGACTGTAAGTCTATTGGTCTTGAGTTTTTTTCTCTCTTCAGGAACACAGCAAATACTTGTTAACTGCATACCACAGGGCCTTGTAGACACAGTCATCGTCATTATCCTCATACTCCTTCATGTAATTAACTCAAGGTTAAGGGTAGACTTGCCCTACTAACTTGGCATCCTCCAATCTTCAGTTCTTTGGCTGGGATCGCGTTTATACTTAATTCTCCACCACACCATTTCAGCATTGCTTTTGAAAAGAGCCCTGTGTACCTCATACCACCCTCACAGAAGGTCAAAATAACACTTTTTGCTGAGTGCAGGCCATGGGGCCAGGGTACTCTGTGACTTTAGTGGACACAGTTTTTAGAAAGGCACAACCACCATTAACAATGAAATCATTGGAAGTGACATAATTTTTTTTAGGTAAGATTAATAACAATCTGCCACAAATTCAAGCTGATCTTGCACTTAGTAAGATAATACCAAAGAAAAAAGTTGGGAAAAGAGAAAGGATAGAAAGTACCCAATTTTTGCTATTTAAAAAGGGAAAAGAATTCTTTTTAAGGAAATGGCCAACATGATAATGTGGACTTCCGCAATAGATGGGTCTGTAGTTCTAGGAATAGCAAAGAATTCAAAGTTTACAAGGAAGATATTTTATCATTTATGCAATAATATTCATATTTAGCAATATATACTTATAAATCTCAGGCCTTATGTAAACCAGAAAGAACTGATGATAATTTGTAAGCTTTATTCCATTGATGAAGAAAAAATCTTTTATTTTACATTAAGTCTCTGAAAATTCCAGCCCATCACTTTGAAACAGTATACTCCAACAGAATTTTCTGTACTGATTAAAATGCTCTCTAAGCACACTGTCTGATAGGGTAACAAGTATCTACCTATGGCTACTGAACAATCAGAATGTGCTCACTAAGAGGTGTAACCAATAAGAAATTTTAAATTTTATTTTAATTAATATACATTTAAGTTTAGATAGCCACCTACAGGATAGCAGTGGTACCTGTATTTTTTAGACACTAGATTTGAGTTTAATGAACATTTCTATCTCTTAAATTATGGTCTGGTTTACCTAACAGAATCATTCCCAGGAGATAACATCATGTAGCTGGAGGAAGCCTGGCCTCAGCCTGTTGTCATGGGCTCCTTAATGCAAATTAGAAAACAGCAGCATCTTAAGCAGATGCAGCTCTGTGGGCATTAGGTGTAGTTAATGGCAACCTTAGCTCGCATCCTTGGGAAACAAGAGAGGAGCAACAATAAGAGTTTGCTCTAAAGGATGCAGGTTTTGGAGTCAAATAAATCATGGCTTCAAATTGTAACCTTTCCTCATATTTTGTATTTATTGGCATCTGATCTAGGCATCAGTGTAATGGAAGTAAATGAGACAAAAGTTACTGTCATAAGGAAATAAATAAAAAGCATACACAAGATAAATTGTAAACAAATTAATAATATAATTTTTAATAGCAGGAAAGGAACCAACAGATTGTCACAATGTAGCATGTGTGCCCCCTTTTCACAAGCCCCCAAGGACCTGAGGAAAAGGTCTTCAAACAATGGGGACCGCCGTTCTAAGAGTTCTGAAACAGAAATGATAGAGGCTCAGGAGGCAGAGTGTCGGGCAGGGCAAATGGAATGGAGTAAATGAGGGGAGCAGATGTATGAGGCAAGGTCACAGGGGAGGCTGGAGCCAGCTCAAGGGGACTTTGTAGGCCAACTGGAAGGCAGCCAGAGAGCTTCCAGAATGTAAATCAAGTCATTTCACTACATTCCTTCCCAGTGCATCATTAGCTGAACAACCGTGGACAAGCTAGCTGTCCTCCCAGAACCTTGATTTCCTCAAGTATTCAGGTTTGATTCTGCCTGCTTCTATGACCGATAATGAACACA